GATTCCATCGACCTTAGCGGCTTTTGGGTTTGCAAAAGGCAAAGGAAAGGAAAGGAAGAGGAAAGAGGAAAGAGAAAGGGAAAAAAAGGAGAGAGAAATGGGATTCACCAAACCTAGATTGGCATTGGGAAGGGAGAGAGAAAATTAGAGGATTTAGAAGTTGAAGATAAGGGTAATATGATCATTTAACTTGGGGTGTTAATTAACAATTGCAGGTAGAGCGATGGCGACAGTTCGTGGAGGCAGGGGACAACACGGCAACGGCAACGGCAAATCGTCAATCGGTTTCAAGGAGTTCGTGAACAGACTGCCAGCTTTCGACAAGGGGCTTCTGAAACAATGTGTTTCCTACCATTTTTACAACTTTCCTGATGATTGGGGAGCTAAGAACTTGTTCTTTTTCATTAGGAAGACAGTGAAAGCAGGAAGACTATGGGACATCTTCATACCGAGCAGAAGGGACAGAAGGGGCAATAGGTATGGATTCGCCAGATTCTTGGACGCCAGGAACGAACGCGAGATGAAGAAGCAACTGGAGAACATATGGATCGGCAATCATAGGGTGATCTTTAACCCAGCTGAGGAAAGACGAGAAGAAAAAGGCAGAACAGAGTCAAGACAGAAGAATAGTACGATGTTGCCTCTTTCTGAAGAGAGCACCAAGGTAGATGAGGGGAGAAGACAAGCTCCAAAATTGACATACGCTCAATGCCTTCTTCAACAAAATGATAAGGCCAAATGCAGAATTATAGAAAACAAAGGCCCTACACCGTCAGAGGCAAAAGGCTTCCCGAGAAATGCAAACAGGGAACCAAATAAGGTTCCTAGTCCTGGAGGAGTTAAATACAAAAAGGTGATTGAGTTAAAAGGAACAGATAAGGCCGAAGAAAACTTGATGAAGTGTGCTGTTGGAGTGGTATTATCTCCCTCTGTTATCCCAAATCTCCCAGAGATATTCTTTAACGAAGGGTATCCCTCAACCAAAATTGCTCCTATGGGTGGTAATCTCGTGTTGATTGATGATG